ATTAGCAGCATCATTATACAAAAGGCAAAATAAAAAATTAAAACAAGATATATTTACTGCTTCAAATACTGCCGGCGTATATTTTGGAGGAACAAACATGTGATTCATGGTTTTATTTATCCCATCGCGAATTCTAGCGGGCATAATATTCACTAAACGACCAGAGTTGTAATTGCATTCCAAAGTATAACTGCGTGTTAAACCAGTCATTTTGTATACTGCCACACGTCCTGAGCCTTCTCTGGACATACCATCCCGTTTATCTCTATAAAGATATATGTATTTAATATCACAATAATATATAGAATGTATGATTTAAATGTACTCACATAATGTACATGTTTCGTTCTGCGAAATTGCACGATGTGAAATGAAAGTGTGGATTATTGATAGACATCAACTTGGGTAGCAACATACATGCGATAGTATCTTCTGGATCCGTAAAATGATTTCCATACATGAAAACGCCTTTTTTTGAAGCATGGCCGTGTAGATCAATATACAAATACAACCCAGACGTTATATCATCTGAGGATTTTGATGTTTCGTCTATGGCTGTACAAATTGATTTGTCACTTGTTCTTACTTTTGTGGCGTTATCACTTCTATCACTTTCTTTAGAAAGCTCCTCACTTTCATCTATGCATGCAAATTATAAATTAGAAAAGTTATGAGATTTGTTAACGAAATTTTATAAAATAATATGAATACCAATAGTTGCGCTGTTCAAATGCTCTAATGTTAATAAATGTTTTTTATCAGTATTCAGAGCATAGATGTTCTTCTCATCTAATGACATAAATGTTACCTATTAAAAAATTAACAACATAGAATACTGTTGCTGCTTATACAACATAAACTATATTATTGATGTAAACTTGTATTATTAACATTTATTCTTTGAAACTTTTCATAATTGCATTTGTAATATAAAGAAATGTTACTAAGAGAAATTCTGTAGATTTTTGTCATACTTGTTGCAACAGTCTTGTAGTTGTGTCACGTACAGCGTTTGCTATCGAAGCGGTCGAATTTATAATGCTTATGTTGCTGTCCACAATTTCTAAATTTATATTCGATAAGTCGTCAGTTAGTTCATTCGATAGCTGATAAGAATTATGATAATATCTACAAGAAAAGTATGTAAAATTTGATTTTGACTGTAATACTCACGTTATGAAGTATTAAGATAATTATTTAATATCAGAAATATTAAGTGCTTACTTTATTAAGTTCCTTGCAGCGTATATCGTAGGATGATCTACTTCAGAAGGATTTAAATAAACTCTATTCAAATTCACTCCTTTAGTGTCCATTCGATAATGACCTCTGGCAACTCCATCTGGATTGAGCATCGGTATCAATTTGAACACATATAGGCGACGTAAATTTATAGCAATTTGATCTTCTCGATTCAATAAAAAGTTCAGAAAACCATTCAGAACAAAACTAGATGGTGTTTCACCTGGATGGACTCTAGCACTAATAAAAATTACCTAAATACATATAATCATATATATAATCGTATATATATAAATACATTTGTTTTTTGAAGATGAAGGAATATATTTTATATTAATAATAACATTAATAGCATACCTTCTTATCTCGAAATTTGTAAGGTCTTTCTTCATTCATCTCAGGAAACATATTATTCAGTCTATCTTCTCTCTCCATCGATATGTTATGATAGGAGCTTATTGTCAATATATCCAATCTACGATCCTCTATTGATTTTATTGCACATTCTCTATGATAATAGATATCATCCATACACACTACACTCCTTTTTTCCATTCTCATATCAATTCTTTTCAAATAATTTTGTAGGTCTGTATATGAAAATGGATAGGTAAAGGCAAAATAAGTGATAGCTTTCGAATTTTCTGGAGTGTAATAGAGGAACGATAAAGTAAAGTCGTTCCCTTTCTGATCGAGCTGCAACGTTAAACGCTACTCTATACATCTGTCACATAATTATCATAAGGTAAGATTTACAATCTTGCTACACTCTCAAATATACATTCCTAGAACTATGTATGCTAATTACAGTATATGTGGGTCTTTCACGAATCCGTTCCCAGTGCAAATGTCCTGGTACAATCTTAAAAACTGGACACATCCCTTGGCTGAACATCTTCACTTGTTTGTTTAAATTAACTATATTGAACCTGACCGAAACACTTGAATGACCAGACCTGACGCCAAAATAAACCAAGTTCTGTTATTATTTTGGAATTGTGTACCATGACAATCATGCTTGGTCCATAGGTTGAACTCATAATCCAATCCATCTTTGGAATTTGAATTGCTGGTCGATTTGCCCTCAATCTCATAAACAGCTAGAAATAGAATAAAATGTGACAATTGCATTGTTACATAAGAAATATATTGGCAACAGTACATCTCGTTACAGTACTTTTGGCATCACGAAGCAAAATGGATCAATCTAATCATTTCATACAGAAAGAATAATTTTCCGATTCAACTTTACACATACTCGACACATCTCACTCACTCACTCGCACACGCATTCACACACATAAACATCACACACACACACACACACGCACACACACGCACGCACGCACGCACACACACACACACGCGCACACACACACACACACACACACACACACACACACACACACACACACACACACACACACACAACACACACACACACACAAAATGAATCTAGATTTATATATCTTCGCGTGCGAAGACAGCCAGTGTTACCTTTCTCAGAAGTCTCCGGTGTTCTCACCGCTTCCACCTTGGCCAGGTTAGCCGAGTCAAAGTCGTTGAAAAACACAAAACCACCGCAGATAATGTTTTCAGTTGTGTTCGCCATGATGCGTCAGAGAATTAGGTCTCACGCGGGGTCGGAGGACGCGGGACAGACGACGAGTCGCTGGTTCATACGGTGTCGTCGTACGCCGCCTATGGAATCGCGAAACGAAAGAATCCTCTTCTCTGGATCCTCTCAGGCACGACCGCGCTCGCTCGTCGGCGACAGCATCTTGCTCGTTCCCGCTGGACGATTTGGCGGCTCTCTTGGGCGATCATATGATCTCTATTTACGTCACACAAACACAGGAGTCCGTCGTCTGTACGCGAGGGATTACGGCTCTCGATGCGGCAGAGTAACGAAATCGCACATCCTCGACGTAAAATAGAACGTAGTTCCTCTTTAAAAACTTCGCCGCGTCACGAATGAATAAATGCATGAATGAATGAATAATTGATTCGAGGCTGCGACGACGCGTTTGCGCCGTTCATCGATCCGTTCCAGTCGCGTGTGGATCAATTCGATCGACAGGTAAAGGCAAGAATCCGATAGCTGCAAGCTCTCGTGCGCACATACGTGAAATTTTAAAAATGATATTTTATTGAGGTGGTTGAGTCATTTTGATATGTCAATTTTAACCTGCGAATGTCATCGGTGATCATGGGCGTATCCAAGATTTTTTTCGAGGGCTTATCAATTTTTATTAAGGCTTGTTCTACAATACGTCGCATGTTGGTGTCGCAAGCTGCAAGCCATAAGATTTGATCAATCATTGACGAATGTGGAGAGAATACTTGATTGTGATTGGCCCATTTTTACGGCCTACGATCGCGACACCGACACACGTCGCATTGTAGAACAGGCCTAAGCGGTATCTACAATGAGACTTTTAGACACGGTTGTACCAATATTATTTGGGCTTTAAGCGAGACTTAATAATAATATACGTAACTTAATACATAATATACGTGACACATATTATATATTAAATACTTAAAATTCAAAATAATGTTGGTGCAATCGAGCCTAAGATGTAAGACTTAAGAAATTGGCCAACCATAATCTATTATTCTTCTATAAATCGATTATGATTGGTCAATTTCTTAAGTCTTACGTCTTAAAGTCTCATTGTAAACGTCGCTTAAGTGTCGATCTACAATAAATATTTAATCTTTAAATCATAAAACAAGAAATTGATCAATCATAGTCGATTCTTTTCATATTCAATTATAATTGGTCAATTTTTTACTTCTAAAGCTTAAATCACCTATTGTAAACCGACACTAAAGTGACATCTACAATGGGACTTTAATCAGTTATTCTTTTATAAATCGATTATGATCGGTCAATTTCTTAAGTCTTACGCCTTAAAATCTCATTGTAGACACTGCTTTAGTGTCGGTCCACAATAGGTGATTTAAGTTTTAAGAGGTAAGAAATTGACTAATTATAATCGAATATAAAAAGAATAATTGACTATGATTGGTCAATTTCTGACTTAAAGATTAAATACTTATTGTGGATCGACACTTAAACAATAAATCCATAATGTTGATTTCCTTATTGCTCAAGGGTGAATTCCCACTGAGCGCGTCACGCGCGCGTCATCCGTCGCGTCACGAATTGACCAATCAAAATATCCCATTTTATTGTATCATTTGCCGCGCGACTTTTTGCACGACGCATCGATTAGATTGACATTCTAGAGACAAAAGGATTCTCAACAAGAAGGAGAAAATGGATCCCAAATCGCGCACGTTTATAATTATATTTGTGTTCTATAAACACAAATTAAAGAAATAACAATTAAAATAATATATTTGTATATGTATATATAAATTATATATATATATATATTTCTTTCTTTCAAAGAGCATGATAATATTACTCGATTCAAGTGAGAATGTAATGCGATTTATAAAAAACAATGTGAATGTATGTATGAATTTTTGGACAAATACAGACTTCTTTCTTAGAAGATCGTTTTAAAACTTATTTTGAAAACTCTGACATATTTATTCAGTTATGTTCATTGCATAATTGCGAGCGTATGATCTTAAATAAATGTGTGCCATTTTTTATTTACAAATACATTAAAGATAATAAACCAGGAAAAGCAATTTCACAAGGACATTTAAATAAAGTAAAAAATGATCTGTTATGAAATCAAAAATCAAAATCATTATAATATTCTTATGTAATGTCATATCAGCTCTTTGTACTTTTTATTTTATTTTTATTTTTATTTCTATTTTTATTTTACTTTAAAATTTTTTTTTAATTTTATTTTTTGTTCTCTTTTAATTTAATTTTATTTTTATTTTTATTTTATTTTTAGTTAAAAAACGAATATAATTAGTCTCATTTTATTTTCAGTTAAAAATTAAAAATAAAATAAGAGATTAATTACA